TCTAAATTCCAGGAACAAAAATTTGTCAATGCAAACAAATATCTTCTGTCGCCTTCATGGTCGGGTGATATTACGTCAAGATCGACCATCGCTTTGATAACACATTTTTAAAGTTATGCAAAAAAATGCCATTTCAATATCAGCGACCGATTATAAAAACTGATATTCGATCAAAAGAATTTCGAACGATGATGTCATTCTGGTGCGAATTGGGAATTTTTATATTCGTTGCTCTCTTGGTTGATGGAAGTCGTGCGGAAAAAACGATGCAAATTAAAGAAAATAAATGTTTTTTCGTGTGTCAGCGATGACAAAAACTGGAAAAAAATGCTATTTTTAAATACAGCGAATGATCGCTGACATAATGCCAAAGTTAGCTTGAATTCGGAAATAACATTTAAACATGTGGTGATCGTTTCTCTTGTTTACTTAGCGTAACTTAAAATATACAAGCCAAAAAATTGTCCAAACTTATCAACAGTCGAATTGTGTATATTTGCGCTGGTTTGTTTGCATTTCAGTTGTCATTACGTTTTTCTGCGTTTTCTTGTGCTTACATAAAATGTTGTCATGAGACAACATCGACAAAGACTTCGAAAAATCCAATTTAAAAACATTTCCGTTCGATCGAGAGCAACAACAATACCAACAACAACAAAAAAATTATTCAATAAAACGATGAACGATGAGTGTTTGTACAATTTGTCTAAATGGTTAGAATAGTAATCATATCGCTAATATGGTGATAAGCGCCCCAGAAAAATACACGATTAGGCGTTTAATTAAATTGTCAATGCGATTCCTAACATTACGTTTGGTATGTAAACCCAACTATCATACAAAAAGAGCCAATGATCGTAAAACTATTGATGTTTGTAAATAAATGGTTCTTATCTTATCTATTTTTAGGAAAGCAGAAATTATATTGGTCAAATGTACAGATTTTTTTGTTGTTCATTCTGTGAAAGTCATAAATAGTTGGGAAATGTGACTTTTTCACAAACAAATCATTCATTTTTTCGAATGCAAACACACACATATGCACAATTCCTATTTACGATAGTTTGTTTCTTTGAACCAATCAAAGTGTGCTCTGGGGCTATTTCGAAAACCGTTCGGTTTGTATCAATTGCAATTTGGTTGGAAAAATGGCACTCTTACAATGACCAAGTACTCTTTATTCAGATTTGATCCTGTGATAAAGTTTTCGGATTTTGCGCAATCAAATTACGTGAACCCACCAAACGGTACTCCATGCAGGCCTCTCAAGAGAAGAAAAAAAAACGGCATCATCGACAAAGAAATGCATTGAAGCGCTTTTACCGCAAGCTTATATTCGTTGTGAATATTTCGTCGAAAAAAAGTCTTTGTTATATGAATGCGCACACGCGCACATGCAATCGGTTCTCGTTGATCAAATTGGAAATGGAAAGCTTGGCCAAATGATATCGCGCATGTGTATTATATGTTAAAATTACATAAACATCCCATTAATTAATTACTCTTTCTCCTGAACCGAACGGATTGAATGGGCGCTCAAAAGAACGCTCAAAATACCGTAATTCAGTTTGGTGAAAGAGCAAAAAAATATACTCCAAATAAAATATTTCGTATTCAAAGTGCACATGAAATGCAAAGTGAATCCGTTGTCGATTCCACAAAAATGCAGCTACAAACCTCGGTTATCAACACACATAAATCAAGTTATTTACGATAGTTATCTTTTTCGGGGAGTTGAACAAGAATAATTTATGTGTGCAGAGAGTGCGCTCGCGCACCTCAGCTCACATGTGAAATGCACTATCGAACAGGAAGTATTTGACGAAACGAATGAAAATGAAATAACAAGGGGGAAAAATGCGCAAAAGCCCAAGCATAATAAAAGAGATATCACTAACCATAACCATTGTGCACTGACTCAAATGCGGCCCAGATACAGTACGACTCTTTTTTTTCAACTGAAACTCCGGCCACAGCACCGATAACACAAGAAATATTATCGAAATTGTTTTATGTGAATGTAACAACGGATCAGATTGTATATATTACAATGAACATTTGGAAACCGTGGTGAAAAAAAAAAAACACGAACGACACAAATATTTTAACTAAACTGTTGCAATTCAAATTTTCAGCATTCATTTTAACAAACGTTAATCGATCGACATTGGGTCATTTTGAAAGGTTTGCTTTAATATTTATTTGATTTCTCCACCATTAATCGTTGTGAAAATGCACTTCAATTACATTTCACTTCCACCAAAACCGATCGTTGCGCCGCGGCATTTTCATGTGAAGAAAACCAGAATTCTGTGAAATGAAACACATTTCGATTGTTTTTGTTGTCGTGAACGACAATTTCACCGTATGCAAAATACCATATTTGGATCGATTTATTTTTATGCAAAATTATTTCCACTTCGATTTTGTCTTCACTTATTATATTTTTGTTCGATAAATGTGATAATTACGGTGTTGGATCATTTGACACGTAGACAGCAAATTTTATGATGGGCGGCCCATCATGGGCCATCGTCTGCAAAGTGCTTACAAAGAGTGAAAAATGTTAATTGCCACAAAGATGCTAAAACGACAGAGTCCGATTCATTAATGAAATGGCGAAAGAAGAAGAAAAAAAGTGCGTGTCGTCAACGTCATTACACAAATTATTATTTGTTGCTTTGTTGCTCATACGTTATCGTTTGCTGAAAGTTCGACACTTATCGTTGATGAGGTTTTGATCATAAACGAATATTAAACTTACCGTTATAAATT